GTATCTTTAAAATTAACAGTTTATTGCACAGTAATTTCAGTCCAAGGCAGAGTAGAAGAGGCAGTTCTTCTGGCTGGGAATGAACACACAGGAAAAAAAATAGCTTGCTTCCTACTGATTTTTGCCAATGCAGAGCAGAAAGAGAGCAAAGAAGAGTATATCAAAATCAAGTTGAAGGAATCCCATTCCCCTGAATTCCTGCAGCAAGGTGACTAATTTTATGTCACATTTGATAAAGACCCCCCCCTGCCCCCTCAAATTATATGCATGTTGGGATGGAAATTCCCTCTACTGGAAAAAAACCCAACCTCCTGCTAAGAGGTTGTGCAAGTTATGAAATGAGTCCATGCGCATTGGTCATCATTGTTGCCACCTTGTGATTTGTGTGTGTGTGATTATCAGAAACTTGATAATCACACACACACACAAAACGTTACTAAATACTTTTACTACATGCATGTGAGGTGTAAGGTAGGTGCAAGACCAACTGCTCTCCAGAATCTAGCTATCCACTTAGGAGCCTGGTTTTTGTGAAAAATCTTACCCCCAGTTTGTTCTGTTCAGTCACTTTAGGGAAGATATGCACCTTCCCCTCCCCCATTAGATTGGGAAATACCAGAAAATCTATTAATCAAACATTTGGTGACACTATTGGTCATGACAACTCACAGGAAACTCCTGCAGACTACTGTCCGGAAATGAAGCTTCAAATATGAGCTGAACACCCAATTAAACCCACTTAACAGTGTAACTAACCTCAGGTGGGAGTCATCATCAGTCTCTCTCTGTGGGTGTGCAGTCTGATAACCAACCTAATGTTTATTTGAAACATTAATGCTGGTAAATGACTGTCATGTAAAATTGTGATTAGTCCAAGATTCTCTTCCCAGCTCTGCACTGGTGTCCTGCCATGCAAGCTATTTAACTCCTTGGTGTCTCAACTTTCCTTTATAAAATCAGATTATAGTTGCCTAATTAAACACTGTTCTGAATCTTCACTAAAGCTTCTAAACTGTGCTGATATGGGGGTTATCTGAAAAATGAGACAGAGATGCCATACTTTATTACCCTGTGATGCACTTTGGTTGTGCTGTCTCATTCGAATAAACTGTAAGGATGATTTGGCTAAGAGAGAACTTTGAACCCAAGTACTCTGTTAGGAAGGTCCCTCATTTTGTTTCCAGCACAGTAGTCCAGAGCCTCCCTTTACACTTCGTGTGGTACAGCATGGGCAGAGGAACTTGTGCATGTTGTATGGTGATGTTTGAGTTTAGGATAAATCTATCTGGGCAGTTCAATTTCTAATGGTCTCTCCTTTGTCTTGCCTAAGCAGAGTATTGGTCCTTGTATGCTGGAGGCTTCAGTGCAGCACTGGGACATTGTGGAAAGTAGAGCATCTTAGTGCGAACAAAACATGTCTGCAAAAAGAGCCTTAGTAATTCTGGCTAAAGGAGCAGAGGAGATGGAAACTGTTATCCCCACTGATCTTATGAGAAGGGCTGGAGTGAGTATGCCAACCACTAGAATCCCTTGAGGTCCCTCTGAAATCAAAGCTGTTCTCTTGAATCAGTCTTCAAGCAGCCCGTGCACTGTTCCTTATTTTCTTTACCTGTGAGGTACCATGCATGTCTAGGGTACTTTGACCAGTATCAGAGAGTGAAAAAGAAGGAACTGAGTAATGCTCTATATACAGTTAGGGCAAACATCCAGAAGATCATGAGCAAAGCCTACCAGTGGATGATGAAGCCTTTAACAGATTTACTTAGTCTGATTCTTCTGGAATGTAAAAGGCTCTGGGTTGAAATGGTCCCTGACTAGGGTTGTGCAAATGGTGAGTTATTGAATATATCTGTTGGACCTTCCAGACTACGAAACTCAGTATCACCGCAGATGTTTCTTCCTGAATGTTGCTTTTATAGGAGGGAGACTTTTGGAGTGAGTTTGTCTTCACAGCTCCACTTTCACTTGGTTTAAATGACCTCTTAACTAAAAGATACTTGTGAATACTATGTAACTGACCCCTGCAACTTTCCAAAGCAGGCAATTTTCCTGAGTCCTAATGTTGTCTGTACTTCTGATAGATCAAGGTCACAGTTGCAGGCCTAACAGGAAAAGAGCCAGTGCAGTGCAGCCGAGATGTCTTTGTTTGTCCTGACACCAGTTTGGAAGACGCCAGAAAAGAGGTTTGTCTGGTTGATTTGGCATGTTGCTTAACACTGGCCTTTTGTGGTTCACAACAAACTTAGAATTATATTTATTTTCCTTCATTAATGTTCTGTTAACTCACTCCTTGCAGCAGCAGCATCACATGCTCAAAGATACATTCTGCAATTTGCATAGAAATCTGTCTGGCTAGCATTTTTTTTTTTTTTTTTTTTTATTCAAGAAAATACTAAAGTTTTGCACAACTTGTCACACTCCATCCAGACACTTTAAATATTTTACAAAATCAACTCAGACTTTATTTTAAGGTGTTACCCAGACTGAAAAAATAGGATGACTTGTATAAACAGAGAGGCCTTGCTTAGGAAGGAAGCGCAGTAACAGGGCTGTGTCGGGAGCTTTTGCAGCACAGCTCTTGTGATCACAGTGAAGCACTGACATTCACACTCTAGGGTACTGAGCTCACCCACACTCAGACTTCTTGTTGGCAGAGGTTGCTTTGGAATAAGTGTCTGTAACACTCTGGTGGGAAAGGAGACAATAAGGTGCTCCATTAAGTAAATATTTTGGAAGTTCCCCAGAGATTAGGATTTATCTGTTACTTATTACAGTATATTCTCACCACTATGAAGATAGGTCTTCTCCATGAACAATCTTGATAACACACTAACAGAATGGTGTTTCTTTAGGGGCCTTATGATGTGGTGGTCCTACCAGGAGGTAATCTAGGAGCTCAGAACTTGTCAGAGGTAAAAGACTTCTCTTCAGCAATACCAAGGCCTACCCATCTGATGGAATGCTCTTAATTCTTTCAGTGATGCTTCTTTTTATCTTCTACTTCTGCAAATTTAGTTAAATATTTTAGAGCAGTGGTGACCAACATTTTTTGGCAGGTGGGCTGGATCCAGCTGGTGGTCCCAATCCGGCTCCTGGGGCAGGAGTAGCAGACCCCATCTGACTAGGCAGAAGGGTCGGGGGCAGGCCAGCTGTAACCTGGCCCTGCAAGGGAAAGGAGCCAGACCTGGTCCCATGGGGGTAGGGGGAGGAATGGGACATGGCCCAGCCCCAACCTGGCCCTGCAGGGGAAGTGAGCACAGTTCAGCTCCAACCTGGCACTGTGGAGGAGGAAAGGAGGCATGGCTGGGCCCCAAACAGGCCCTGCAGGGGGGAAAGGCAGTGTGGCTGAGCCCCTAATTCAGAAGTGGGAGGGAGGGGGTGTGGACCAGTCCAAGGGTGGGGGGCACCTTTTGGGTTTGGGAATTTGGTAGGAGGGAGGGTGGCTGCATTGATGACCACTTGTCCTCTGCCAATTTTCTGGACCTGTGTAAGCTAATCAACTGTTAAGCAGCCTGGCCCTAATTACTCTGAAAATAAGGAGGTGCTTTCGATTCTTAAGGTGTGGAGATGCAATAATTGGTAAACAAAGATTTAATGCAACCAAGTGTAAAGTAGATTGAAGCCATAAGCACTTGAATTAAACCGGACGTCCATTCAATTTGCTATGCTTTCTCTGACAGTGCCTAATACTAGATTCGTTGGGGGTAAAGTCTAAGAAACTTGTCTCCTGTTTGGCTTTTTTAATCTTACCGTGGCCTCTATAGGTTTAGATATTGGTTTCAGCCATCAAATAGGAGGTAAATAAATATTCCTTCTAATTATTACCTCTTGTTGTTTTTGAAGGTTCTACATTTACAATTTCTTTTAAAATCTGTTTGTTCTATGTTATAAAACAGAAGGACTGAAGTTCCTGTTTTATTTCTCATTTCTTGATTTATATTTTTACAGTAGAAAATGTATCTTGACTTGTCATGTTAAAATAAATCATTATGTAAAGTGATATGGTTTCTTTTATGCAGTCTTCTGCTGTTAAAGACATCCTGAAGGACCAGGAGATGAGGAAAGGCTTGATTGCTGCCATTTGTGCAGGTGACGAAATATCTTGCATTGTATTAGTGTTGTCTGGACAGGTGCCTCTTACAAATCTCTGTCACTCAACTACTTAGTAATAAAATAAATTCAAATGCCCACTGATCTAGCAGAAACAAGCAGCTCTGTAAACCACTGTGACACTAATCTTGCAAGGTGTCAGTTTTTTTTACATCTGTGCTGGTCTCTTCAAAATTTAAGCTGCTCTAAAATACAGGGTGTAAATGTAATATGCTAGGAGGTTCTATAAAGTATTTGCTTATCATAGCATTATCTCTGCCAGGACACATTCTGCTGGCAGGACATAGTCACGATAGCTTTCTTGGGTATAATATAAACATAGGCCTCTTGCCCTTTAGCTTCAGAAGGAAGGTTAAATTGTCACAGGACATTCTCATAAGCAAGCAAAAGAAAAAAATCTAGACAAAAAATCACCATAATCTGGGTACAAATTAATTAAAGTTAATTCAGACTAGTTATCACTAGATCTCTATCAAAATGGGAGGTCATTTCAAGTGCAGTTTGTCCAAGATCTGGTTCCAGTTCATATTTGTATTAATGCTCAAATAATGAAACGGACATTTTGCCAATAAACAGTATAGGCAGTCCTCAGATTTATGGTGCAATTGGTTCCTGAAAACTGTATCTTAAGTCGAAACACTGTAACTCGGAACCAATTTTTTTTCTCATAGGAAACAATGTTATAAATGGGGGATTGGTTCCTGAACCAGGGCCCAATACCCTATTTTCACCAAAAATACCCCAGAATTTTGTACTCCATCAACTGTAGATGAGTAATATAGCTACATTAACGTATTTATGTTGTAAATAGCAATCGTATTGATTTGGAAGGACTTCTTTAAGGTGACTTTGCTGGACTTTTAAAAAGGCTCTTGGTTGGACTTTTTGAAGGGTTCATGGCTGGAGTCTTCTCAGGAGTCTTGGCTGCAGGCTTTTCTGGAGTTTTTGTCTGCTTTCTTAAAGAAAGTGTCCGAGGAAGTTTGGACAGATGTTCTCCAGAGAGATGAGCAACACAGCAAACCTGTTTGCCAACGTGGCATTGCATTGGATCAAGCATTGTAAAGTTGAAACTGACATCATAAAGTTGAAATGATGTCAGTTTGCAAGTGCGAAACGTTGTAAGTCTAGGACTGCCTGTATAGACAACACCAAACTAGGAAGGGACAGCAGCACTTTGGAAGGCCAGATAAGAATTCAGAATGGCCTGAAATCAACAGGATGAATTTTAAGTACTACGCTGAGGAGGAAGAAATCAAATAAAGACTAGGGTAGTGGGTCACAATTTACATAGGAATCAGCCATGTAATGCTGTTGCCAAAATGCAAATCTGATTCCAGAATGCATTAACAGGAATGTCATGGATAATACAGGAAGTAGTTACTTTGACACTGGGGAGGCCTAGGAAGTGCTGTTCAGTTTTGGCCCCACACTGCAAGATGGATGTAGTCAAACAGGAGAGAGTCTACAGGAGAACAACAACAATAGGAGGTTTAAAAAATGACCTAGTGGGGAAAGGCTGAAGGAATGGGGTTTGTTTCCCCTACAACTAAGACTGGATGCAGAGGAGTGACCAGGTGTCATAAAAAAGATGTGATCAGTTGTTCTACGTAGCTACTGGGAAATCTATTCAGCCCTCCTCTTCTTGGAAGTCTATATATTAGAATGTCCTTAGAGTAAATATACCCAGTAGAGTATACTTGCACTGTGCCTTTCATTTCTACTTCTAACACCTTTTGTTTCACTTGGAATATTGTAGAAAGGCAGAATTTTATTTCCCTGGCTATCGCAACATCTGTCAGATGACTTAGTCCAATCACGTTGAGGACTTTTTGTGTTGTTGTAGTGAGGAAGATGTGAATTCCTGTTTCTCTTCCTGTTTGTGCTGCAAAACAAATAATATAAGGTCTGAATAGCCCATATAAAGCAGTGAACTTTGCTTACAAAGAGCCACTTAGCGATTTGTTATGCAAATAGTTACAACTAGCAGTAGCAAAACAGAAGTTATTTCTCTTAGAAGTGACCCATAAATGAGTCTAACAAACAATAAATAGACATTGGGAACCTCAGCAAATCTTATCTTCAGAAATTTCTGGAATTCCCACAAGGGTTTTTCTGCATTACTTGTTATCACACTTCTTAGACTGCTTCTTCCTCAATTCAGTTCAAATGGGAAATGCCATCTTTCTCCACAAAAAGACTTACTACAAATAAAAACTTCCAGTTGCTGGCTCATCATTTGGCTAAGAGACCATACATTAGTATCCAAATGATTGGCCCTCCTTGGGTACTCTACACTTAAGTGGCTCAAACATACAAGGTTTTGCCTAAGAACATTTTAAATTATATACTGGTAGCAGATCTAGGGTTACCAAGGCAAGAAATGTTCACCAAGACTGTGATCAGCTTAATTTTCTGCCTCTCTCCTTTCCCAATTTTAAGACAACAGTCTGACCATAGGAGTAACTTCACAGTTGAATACTATGATCTCTTAATCTGCAAATCATAGACTCTTATTCAAAGAAATCCAGAGCTGAAAGATGCTTATTAAATTTTCTCTTCTTTAATGGAAGTTTCCCATGTAGGGCCTTGATTCAATGAAATATGGGATACTACATATCTGTATCTCTCTTTGGGGCCCTTTGTTTACTGTCTAGTTTACCTACTTCATAATGGCAGAATTCATTTAGAAGTGGAATCCTGGGATCCATGTCTATGTTGGATCTTTTCTGAACCCAATAATGGCCCAGTGCTTGCATGTTTGGGGTTTTTGTTTGTTTGTTTGTTTGCTTTTTAAAGTATTTGGCTGCAGTGGAACTGAATTTTATGACTAATGTAATTCTTGCAGGTCCAACTGCCCTTCTGGCACATGGAATAGGGTTTGGGAGCAAAGTTACTACACATCCTTTGGCTAAAGATAAAATGATGAATGGGGGTAAGTATAATACAAGGATGAGAATCTCTTCTCCAGATCCCAGGGCCAGAAATTCTGTGGGGTACAGTGTGACTTAGTTGTGTGTTTCTTTAAGAAAACAGAGAAACTCCTGTGCGGTTACCTTGCTGCTTCAAAACTACTTAATATATTCTTGCATAGAATGCAAAATTGAATTGGATGTGCTGAGGAAATGTCTTAAAGCCTTCAGTGACTTCTGCCAGCAGATGTCAGAACTGGTGGGTTCAAGCCTAGTATTGAACTAACTGTAACAAAGGGGAAGAGTCATATCCAGAGACCACTGTCTGTCCATATTAAAACAATGTCAAGAAAGATTAAATCTCTTCTAAGAGCACTTCCCTCTCCCTGTTTGCAGCCAGCTCCTTCTTAGCCTTATAAGTTTTGCCTAAAGGAACCCAGTAATCAAATCATGATGTCATTAAGCGGTACCATTCCCAGACACTCAGGGTTTCACACTCCGCTACATCTAAAGATTTCTGCAGCCACTGCCCCAGGTTTCTGACATTAGCAGGTCCCAAAGTCTTGCCCAGAGCAGTTAGATTAGCTCCACTAAGGGGAATTGTCACGTATGTGGCTTTCCTGGGTGACTGAGGTTTGTACTCACCTCAGGCACCAGCATGCTCTCCTTCTTGGACTTAGGGTCTTCAGGGGAAAGATCCATCGTGTCCTCTGGGTCTCCCTATATCTCCCCACCCCAAATCTCTCCCAGGTTGAAGGGAATGTCTGAGTCCCAGGCTTGACGTCCCCGGATGCCAGCTGCTACTTGCATGCTGTGCTCCTGGAGTTCTTGCTTTAAGCAATTAATGGTGCTCAGACAGGGGCCATGGTTTACTTTGGCTCCTCTTTCGGCTTGATGTTTAGCCATGGTCTTTACCAATTTTTGTAAGGTTTCTCAGCTAGCCTTTTCCTGGCCCAAGGATTCCTGTTGTTGGGCGTTATGTTTATTTACTTTCCTCAGTTTTTTTTCTTTTTCATTTTCCAAATTCTGAGACGGTTCTTTTAGGGTTTGATTGCTTGTTTCTAACTGAGCACATTTGTCCTTTAGAATTTGGATCTGCTCTTCCTTTTCCTCAATTTCTGAGGCTCTCTGAGCTTTTTCCTCTGTTGCTATTCTTACAGCATGCCACAGTAGCTAAACCAGAGCACTGTGTTGCCTTTGAGCCAAGGGTTTTTCACAAAGGCAAAACTTTTCAAATTGAACCTTGATGTCCCCTATGGAAAAGCCTGGGGGGCACAAATCCTCCCTCCCTGGGCTAGGACCACCCCTCAAGATCTTATGGAGGGGGGAAGTTTCCTCCCTCTGTACCCTCTTAACTTCATGGTCCCCTGCTCCAAGCTTGGGGGACTTCTTCCTGAATAAGGACATTTTCCTAAACACGCTCTGAGCCTGTCGGTTTCCGAGCCCTCAGCTGCCCAACTGACTCTGCCCCTGCCCTGCAGGAGTTCTATAACCAAATCTCTTCCCTGGGATATGTCTGCCCCCTTGGGTGAGTTCTATATGTTCCTGACCCTAAGCCTGTTGGTTCCCGAGCCCTCAGCTGCCCAACTTCTTGCAGTAATTCTCTAACCAAATCCCACTCCTCTGTGGATGTGGGTTCTATAGGGTGACACGGTGTCTAATAAACTAGAATTCATGATGATCCTGTGAGTTGGTCATTTGTAGCCAACAGCTGCTGCCAGGTGGGCAGGGGTCACCTCCTGCCTGGCCTGGCCCTGCTCTGCCCTGCTGTGCCGGGTCCTGCCTGCCAGGCTGTGGAGGCCCTGAGTGGGGAGGGCAGTGGGACAGGGAGCCCAATCCCGCAGTGGGCAGCCTGTACCTGCCCCCCACATGGGCTCTGCTCCAGTCTTGCTGCCCATGGGGGAGGGGGAGCCAGGCTCCATGCTCTGCTCTGGCCACAGCAGCCACTGCTGCTGTCTCCCACAGGTGGCAGCTGGGGCCCCCCTTCGGCAGGGCAGGGGGCTGTGAGTAGGGAGTGAGGGGCACCAGCATAGGGCCAGGGGGCTGTGGGTGGGGAGTGAGGGGCATCAGCAGGGCTGGGGGGTTGTGGCTTGGGAGTGAGGGGCAATAGCATAGGCAGGGCACCGACATATCAGGGCTGCTCAGCAACACAAAGCAGGGGTGGGGGGCAGGAAATGACAAACTTCTTGTGAGCTTTCCACTTTTCAAGGACATTGCTCAGCCAGCAGTAGAAATTACTGAGACATGTTTAGCGTATGATGTGGCTGATCTTCAGCAATTTTGAGTGATGTGGTGGAATACTGCAGAGTCCTCACTAGAGGGAGATACGCTTGAACCACCTGAAGTCAATGAACTATTAGTTGCAGTGCTGTTTTGCCAGCTGTCCAGACTTTTTTATTGTGGTGTTTTATGGGTTTCCCTTTTAAAGCACGAACTACTGTGGGCTGCTGTAGATTAAAAGAGACTTTTGGTCTTCATTAAAACAAAACCAGACCCACATTTCTCACACTTACGAGAGGGGGGAAAAAAAGGTGAAAACAACCACGTGCACTTCAAAAATTCAAGAAACAGACATTTAAGAAACCCCAGGATGCATTACCAGCCCTTTTTAGAAAGTCTCATGACTTTCAGGGCCATGACTTGTGACTTTTAAAATGTTTGGGTTGACAGCACCCTTATGGTATGTTTGTAAAATGTTGCCAAATAGCTGCATTAGTTCTGTGTGAGCCTTACAATGTATCCTGCCTTGTCTTCCTCTCCAGAACACTACAAGTACTCTGAAAACCGGGTTGAGAAGGATGGGAACATTCTTACCAGTCGTGGTCCAGGCACCAGTTTCGAGTTTGGCTTGGCTATTATTGAAACGCTAATGGGGAAGGAGGTGTCTGACCAAGTGAAGTCTCCACTTATACTGAAAGATTAATACACAGGTATAATTGGTGAACAGGAGAAGAAAACATCATGAGATAGAAAGTCCTCAGGTACTTATCTCCCTTCCTGGAAACAACAAGAAAGCAAGGTGTATCTTGTATACAATCTCATTGTGAGGCAAATGCCTTTCATACAATACTGATGTGAACTAGAATAATTCATAAACCAATGGGTTTTGTTCATAGGGAAACAGATACAGATGTGTCTGCTAACTCATGACGCCATGAGAAAGAGGTAAACAGCTGTGAATAGGGAAAAAAACTAATAGAGTTTATTCATGTGATTTGAAGCTTGCTTGTTTAAATAAAAATGTAGTAACCCTGTTCAAGAATGAATTGCTACTTGCATATACATGTTTCTTCATTGTTTTGACTGTGAACATTGCAATAATTTCTTTTACCACTTAGATTCAGTTCCAGAACCTAACTTCATAGCAAATACTTGTCACAAGAATTTGTCCACATCTTGATAAATGCAAATGGAAAAATTATAGCCCTGTTTGGACAATGAAATAGTCCAATAGAACTAAGGCTATGACACTTTAAAAATGATATTCAGTAAATAAGAAGATGTATTCAAAACAAACAGGGATTTTCAGGGGTGTCAAATATATGGCCTGTAGGCCACATCTGGCCTGGAGAGCCAGATCACCCAGCCTGCAGAGTTGCCCTAACTCTGCTTCCCATGGCAGCAGCCAAGTGTGTAGGTAAAAACTGCGGTGCTGGAGCCCAGCCAGCACCATGGTGTGTTCCTGCAGTGGCAGCCAAGTGCCTGAGTGAGAACTGTGGAGCTGGAACCTCAGCAACATCATGGGATAAAGCCTAGCACTGGGGCTTGTTCCTGTGGCAGCAGCCAAACTCTTGTGGTATTGGGCTTCTTCCTGAGGTGCTGCTGGGGCTCCAGTGCTGTAGCTTTCACCCAGAAGCTTGGCTGCTGTTGTAAGAAGAAACCATGGTGCTTCTGGGGTTCCAGCACTGCAGCTGTCACCCAGGTGCTTGGTTACAGCTGTGGGAAGAAGCTGCAGTGCTGCTGTGGCTTCAGTGTTGTGACTCTTGTTGGTTTGGCTGCCAAGTACCTGGGAAGAATAACAGCACTGGGGCCCCAACAAGAATGTAGGAAGCCTGGCACTGTGGCTTGTTCCTATGGTGGCAGTGAAGAGTCTGGGATGCCGGTTAGAGTGGCTGCTGCACGTGCTGGATCCAGCATGGGTTGGGAGGGGCTGTGGGCCTAATCTGGCCTGTGGGATCAGCTGGGTGCCATTTATTTGTCCCATGGACCAGTCCCACACTATGTACCTGGTCTGCAGGGTTAAGAGTTTGACATTGCTCTATATATTTAGCCCTTGGCTTAAGGTTTTAGATTAGGAGCTGTGTTCTTTCCTGAAACCTTTGAACTGCGCTGTCATTGGGATTTGTGGGTGATACAGTTGTAACAGCACAGATGTGGCATTCAAGTCCAAGGACTTCCCTTACTATCATTCACAATGAAGGCAAGCATATTCACTCCTTCCTGATGCTTCAGGAAGGGATTACTGCTCAGGCCACAAACTCACACAAATGCTCTAGCATTAAGAATTATGGTGCTTCTCTCCATATTAAAAGTCTACTCCAAGGGATAGCATAGTACTTCAGTTGTATGCTATGCCTGCTACTCATGTGGCAGCACTCCAGTACCTTTCCCCTGCCCATGATTATACCACATCAGTTGCCAGGCAAAAACTAAAATCTTTCCAGTGACTGTAAAACTCAACACATTTGCCCATTAAACCTGTAGGTTTGACGCATGTTGCCATGTGAATGTAAGCCAGACCAGAAAGAAGAGTTTGACATTCAAAACCAAATTGGAGAGCATCCTCCAGGCCCTCACCTGCACTCAGTTCACAGGGCATAGAAGAGAACTGCATGCTGTTAAGTGCAAATGCTTTCTAACCTACTACAGAACTGCTATTTCCTTAAGAGGAAAATAAAATATTTCAGATTATTTATGTTGTGGCGCTTCATTTCAATAGAATACAAGGTATCTGCAAAGAAACAAGAATTCTACTTGTTTTTTATTTTACATGTATAGATCTTACCAAATTGTGTCACTAAGACAAATAGTTGAAAAAGAGACTATAATCAAAGTGTATGTACACTTTCTGTTCATTGACATCCAGAAGGCCTATGATAGTCTACACAGAGAGAGTCTGTGGGCTACATTAGCTGAATTAGGATGTCTCAACAAACTAGTTGATCTCATTAAAGTTTTCATGCATGAATCAAGAAACAGAATTAGAACCTGTGAAAGCAAATCAGAACCCTTCCCACTTGGAATTGGATTGAAACAGAGAGGATGGTTTGTCTGTGATCCAATTTAACCTGGCACTGGAAAAAAGTAACAAGGAGCACAATTTAAGGAGAGGAGTTCACCTGAATGGAGAGTGTAACAGGGTTCCCGACTGGAGCCCTGTTACTTGGGGAAATCCCCACAGCTGGCAGTCATGATGCCCAGGTGGGGGCAGGGGGGGAGATTCCCCATGCCACCGGAGAGCCAATGGGGCTTGGCTTCCGGGAATATAAGGAGGATGAGGCCCCAGGAAAAATGCCTGCGGGCACTGAGAGAGGGATTGCCCAAGACCCTAGGGGAAGACTACCCCTAAACACAGAGCTGAGACACAAAGAAGGGACCGTGCGGCTATCAGGCCCATGAAGATGTTTGATACCTGCAACGGGACTCCAGACGCCAGTGGTGAGTTGTAGGTGGGAAGAAGTTGCAGGTCCAGGCAGCAATGGGACGAGGTGTCCCACAATAGGGAGTCGGTCCCCGGTGGGGATCCGGAAGGGAACCTGGCAGTGGCTCCAGAGGAAAGGGGTAGACAGCTGGGACCCGCTGTGCTGGTGTGGGCAGCGGGGGAGCTCTCAGGGACAAGCCTACGCAAACTGCCAGGAGGTGGAGAAGAGACGTGGCAAGCCTCTGCCGCCAACAAGGCAATTAGCAGGCAATGAGTCGGCCCAGGCAGGGGCGGCGCACACCCAGGGTGGCTAATTTGGGGCTTTAAGATTTTATTAACCACAGCAAACCGATAGCCGGGACTACTCTTTTCACGGTAATTGGTGCAGGACAAGGCACCATTTGTGTGAGTTGCTAGTGAAGCAATTAGTACTGTGGGATGCTGGTTGGTACTTACCTCTAGAACTGCAAAGCCGGTGACCCTCTCAGGAACATAAATTGGACATGCTGCTGCCTGCGGTCCGGGCCTCTAAAAGATAAAGACGAAAAGCACTTGAAAATCATGTGACGGGTCAAGCATTATTCCTCCGCGAGTACCTGCTAATATGTCATCTCTTTCCTCCCTTTAATAAGATCAAAGTCATGGCAGATGAGAACCAGGGGAACAGGCGATATCCCCTAGACCCAGTAACAAAATGGTGCATTGTCTGGGAACTGTGGGCTCCATGATGGAAGCAATGGACACCCAGGCTCCCACTGATTGGCAGTAAGCTCACAACCTGACATTAAGACTCCTCCAAGACCAGCACACCCAACTTGAGGAGATGGTAAGGATGTGGACCCAAGAGGCCAAGGCAAGAATCCGGCTGTTTGCACGCCAACAAGACCTGTGCGAAAAGATCAGGGCACAATAGATGCTAATGGTACGAGAAGGTGGGGGCTTGGGCCTGCCTTGAATGTCAGCTGAGGATGATGTAGAAGCCTCTCTGGAGTCGTTTGAGAGTGTGGCAACGGCCGCTAAATGAGACCTGGTTAGTTGGGCAGCCAGATTGGGGCCTCTCCTTCTTGGGCCGGTACAAGCCGCTTAACTGAACCCTCAGCAGGACAGAGGCACAGGACTAGGCACACGGAGGGAGGGATGTGCAGGGAGCCACCGGAAGCTAGCCTGCTACTGCTGCAGAGAGAAGGGCTGCATGTCCTGGTTCTGCCCTAGGCCATCCCAGGAAGGAAGACCTGGATGTGGACCAAGTTATAGGAAAAGGGGACTTTCATTGGGAATAACATCAGGAACCCATATTCAGGAATATATGGGAATCCCAGCCCGCCAGAATCAAGGAAGAAACCAGAGATCCGCAGAGACCCCTCCAAAACCTGCGATACGAGGTAAGGAAAGGCCTTCTTTACCAGGTAGAGGATCAAGAGGAGGGAGAAGAGAGAGCCCAGATCCTGGTGCTCCGGAAATATTGGGAGGGCTTGCTGCGGGTGGCCCACGCTCTGCCCATGGGGGGGCACCTAGGAAGAGATCAGATGGAGGCCAGGCTAAAGCGCAGGGTCTTCTGGCCCAGCATGGGTAAGATGGCAGAGAAGTTCTGCGCGGAATGTCCAGAATGTCAAAAAACCAGGGGAGTAAGGCTGGCAAGGTTTCCCCTGATACCACTGCCCCTGATTGGGTGGCCATTTGATCGAATTGCACTGGACATAGCCGGGCCCTTCCTACATAGCAGGACAGGGTATCAATTCATTCTTGTAATCATTGATTATGCCACCTGATTTCCTAAAACAGTACCATTGAGGTACTGTCACATTGAGTGACAGCTCCGGCCATAGTGGGGGCTCTGCTGAGATGGATTGCCTGGGTGGGGATACCCTGCAAAATCTTGATGGACCAAGGGAAAAATGTAATGTCAAAGATTTTAAAGGGCGTCCGCCAGGTGCTGAAAATTAAACAGCTGCGCACTTTGGTCTATCATCCTCAAACCGACAGCCTAGTGAGCGGTTTAACCGCACCCTCAAAGGAATGATCAGGACATGCATTCAGGGGGACCCCGGGAATGGGATGCCATGCTACCCCCACTACTCTTCATGATAAGGGAAGCCTCCCCGGCTTCGACTGGGTATGCCCCATTTGAATTAATCTACGGTCACAGCCCTCAAGGACTATTAGACCTAATATGTGAGGAGTGGATACAAGCTGAGACCGACCCGTCGCAACCATGGGTGGTGGGGGAGTTCAGGGAGTGGCTGCAAAGGACCCAAGAAATAGCACAAAATAACCTTAGCCAGTGCCAAGAGAGACGGAAACAATGGTATGATGCCCGATCCATCGAAAGGGAACTTCAGGTAGGGAACTGGGTAGTGGTGTTGCTCCCAGACAACACCCACAAGATCATGGCCTGGTGGCAAGGCCCCTTTCGCATGACCCGACGCACAGGGCCTGTGAATTACAAGGTTTTGCGAACGACACGGAGAAAGCAAATATATCACATCAACCTGCTGCGAAAGTGGCGTCAAGGGGATGGGTGGCTAATGAAGCCAGTAGATGGGATTGAAGAAGAAAATGGGACAACTGCCCGGGACCTGACGGAGGCTTGGGGGGCGCCAAAGATAGACAACAAATTAGACCCAAGCCATCAAGCCAAAATGAGAGCACTGATTGCTGAATTTCATGATGTATTCAGAGAAGTACCAGGAGAGGCTGGGGGGGTCCACCACCATATCGTGACACCACAGGGACGCATAATTAGAGATCACTGGAGGAGGCTACCTTGCTACCTGTGGCTGGCCATCAGGCAGGAAATTGAGCAAATGAACAGACGGGATTATCGAAGAGTCTAAAAGCCCTTGGAGAAGCCCCACAGTGGTGGTGCCAAAACAGGATGGGTCGATTAGTTTTGCATTGACTACCAGAAACTAAATGAAATCGCCACGTTCAACACCTTCCCGATGCCCCAAATTGATGACATGTTAGAGAAAGTGGGACAGGCTCAATATATATCCACCCTGGATCTCACCAAAGGGTACTGGCAGATCCCAATAGCCATGGAAGATAAAGAAAAAACAGCATTTGGTACCCTGTGGGGCCTCTTCCCATTTAAAAGAATGCCATTTGGGCTACATGGGACTGCCGTCTCCTTTCAGCGGTTAACGGAACGTACACTTGCCCCACACCAGGACTATGCATCAGCCTACATAGGTGATATTATTATTTTTTCACCTGACTTGGAAGCCCATCATTGACACCTTCGGCAGATATTGGAAAGTCTCAGGCACGCGGGGCTCACTGCCATTCCCAAAAAATGCACACTAGGAAAAAGGGAGATGCAATACCTGGGATTCTTGGTAGGCCAGGGGGTCATAAAGTCGATGACTGACAAAGTGGCTGCCATAAAGCAGCACCCCTTACCGAGAACGTTGAAGCAACTACGATCCTTCCTGGGGTTTGCCAACTACTACAGGCGTTTTATCCCCAACTTTTCAGAAAAGGCAGTGCCACTGACAGAGTTGACTAAGGGGCAGCACAAGCTGTTCCCGTGGGATTCAAGAGCTCTCAGGGCCTTCGACCAATTAAGAGAAGACTTGTGCCAGCACCCAGTTCTATATACACCCAATTTCCGGAAAACCTTTTTACAAACAGATGCCTCATCAGTAGCCCTGGGGGCTATACTATTCCAAAAAGAGCAGGGAGTGGAAAGACCAGTGGCATTTGCCAGTAGAAAGCTCAACCCAACAGAATCCCATTATTTCACGATAGAAAGGGAATGGCTGGTAATACGGTGGGGCATAGAGCTCTTTCAGTACTATCTGTTGGGCAGGGAATTTGTGCTCATCACCGATCACGCTCCCCTGCGATGGTTGCGGACAGCTAGGTTGAATAACGCAAGAATTATGAGATGGTCTCTGGCCTTACAGCCATTTTGTTTTTCAGTAGAGCACCGAGCAGGCAGGAGGAACAAGAATGTAGATTTCATATCCCACCCCGGAGATTACTTTGACAAAGACACACAACCCAGTGAAGATGACACACAGAAAGATCGGGTACCGAACCCTGACCTTAGTGTCTTCTAACCCAGGCAGGGGTTTCAGAGGAGAGGTTTTTACTCCCTTCTGCCCCACCTCTCCTCTCTTTTTTTGTTCTCTTTTTTTTGCTCCCTCATTTCCATCCTTCTTTTGGGACTCCCCGGTGACCCCTCCTCCAACCCGAACTATCCGACACCCTCGGGGGGGGTGGTAAACTAAGAGACCAGAGGGGGAGGTGTGTAACAGGGTTCCCGATTGGAGCCCTGTTACTTGGGGAAATCCCCAGAACTGGCAGTCATGATGCCCAGGTGGGGCCAGGAGGGGAGAGTCCCCACGCCACCCGTGAGCCACTGGGGCTTGGCTTCCGGGAATATAAGGAGGACGAGGCCTCAGGAAAAACACCTGTGGGCACTGAGAGGACAGAGAGAGGGATTGCCCGAGACCCTAGGGGAAGACTACCCCTAAACACGGAGCCGAGATGCAAAGAAGGGACCATGTGGCTACCAGGCCCATAAAGATGTCTGATACCTGCAATGGAACTCTAGAAGCCAGCAGTGAGTTGTAGGTGGGAAAAAGTTGCAGGTCCAGGCAGCAACGGGACAAGGCGTGGGAGTCGGTCCCTGGTTGGGATCCAGAAGGGAACCTGCCAGTGGCTCCAGAGGAAAAGGGGTAGACAGCTGGGACCCGCCGTGCTGGCGTGGGCACTGGGGGAGCTCTCAGGAACGAGCCTACACTCTTCCAGGAGGCGGAGAAGAGACACGGTGAGCCTCCGTCGCCAACAAGGCAATTAGCAGGCAATGAGTTGGCCCAGGTGGGGGCAGCTCACGCCCAGTGTGGCTAATTCGGGACTTTAAGATTTTATTAACCACAGCAAACCGATAGCTTGGACTAGTCTTTTCACGGTAATTGGTGCAGGACAAGGCACCATCTGTATGAGTTGCTAGTGAAGTAATTAGCACTGTGGGATGCTGGTTAGTACTTACCTCTAGAACTGCAAAGCCGGCGACCCTCTCAGGAACATAAATCGGACACGCTGCTGTCTGCGGCCTGGGCCACTGTAAAAGATAAAGAATAAAAGCACTTGAAAATCATGTGACGGGTCAAGCGTTATTCCTCTGCGGGTACCTGCTAATATGTCATCTCTTTCCTCCCTTTAATAAGATCAAAGTCGTGGCAGGAGAAAACCAGGGGAACAGGCGGTACCCCACAGATCCGGTAACAGAGCATTAAAGTCCTTGCATATGCTGACAATAGATCTCTCATAAGTGAACATATGAATGATAGAGAAGCTATGTATACTGAACTAACAGATGAAGTAAAGAAAATTGGACTAGTAGTAAATGTGTATAGAAACACAGTATCTGCAGGTAACTAGGCCAGCAGTAAGTCAGGGACCTCATGGAAACAAGACAAATTTTAAATAAGTGACCTACTTCAAGTACTTAGGTTCTGTCATAACTGAAGTAGAAAATAGAGCCTACTTTGCATTGCACAACCTCCTGTCATCCAAACTCATCCCAAGGAAAGCTAAATGTCAAGGCTATAAAAAAGGCTTGGCTGGAATGATCTAGCTGGAGATGGTCCTGCTTTGAGTAGGGGGATGGATTGGATGACCTCCTGAGGTCCTTCCAACCCTAATATTCTATGATTTTATGAAAATTATAATCAGGTCATGTATAACCTATGGCAGTCAAACCTGAGTTCTCTCACAAGCAAACAAGATACTACTACATTGTTTTGAAAGGAAGATGTTATGGAAAAACTTTGGTGCATAGTATACTCCCATAACACAAGAACTGTGTGTAAGAACCAATGAGTTATATCAATTGTACTGAGCCGCAACCCTGACATAGGAAATCAGAGCGCAATGACTACCATGGTTGAGCCATGTTGAAAGAATGGAAGTGACATGGACACCAAAGAAATTGCTCCTTGGGGTAACAGCAGGGAGAAGGCTGCCTAGACAACCAAGATGAAAATGGTTAGATGATAGTTTCATAGTTGGTGGGGTCAGAAGGGACCTGAGCACATCATCAAGTCCAACCCCCTGCCATGGGCAGGAAAGAATGCTGGGGGTCAAATGACCCCGGCTAGGTAATTATCTAGCATCCTTTTGAAGACCCCAGGGTAGAAGCGAGCACCACTTCCCTTGGAAGTTGGTTCCAGATCCTAGCCACCTTGACTGTGAAGTAGTGCTTCCTGATGTCTAGCCTGAACCTACTCTCAATCAACCTGTGGCTGTTATTTCTAGTTACTCCTGGTAGTGCCTGGGGGAACAGGGACTCTCCTGTTCCCTGCAGGTCCCCCTGGTAAGTTTATAGATGGCCACCAGATTCCCTCTCAGCCTTCTCTTGTGGAGGCTGAACAGGTTCAGGTCCCATAGCCTCTCTTTGTAGGGCCTGCCCTGCTGCCCCTTGATCATGCGAGTGGCCCTCCTCTGGACCCTCTCAATGCTGTCCACATCCCTCCTGAAGTATGGCGCCCAGAACTGGACACAGTACTCTAACTGTGGCCCGACCAATGTTGCATAGAGGTGGAGGATCACCTCCTTGGACCTGCTCATGATGCACCTGTGGATGCATGACAAGGTGCGGTTAGCTTTACTGACTGCGTCCCTACATTGGGGGCCCATGTTCATCTTGCAATCAATAATGACTCCAGGATCCCTTTCTGTCTCTGTGCTGAGGAGAAGGGAGTTCCCCAGCCTATAGGTATGCTGCTGTTTTTTTCTCCCTAGGTGCAGTACCCTGCACTTATCAGTATTGAATCCCATCCTATTCTTATCCGCCCTGCCCTGTAACCTGTCCAGATCTAGTTGTAGCCTGCCCCTTCCTTCTATCGTGTCCACTTCTCCCCACATCTTAGTGTCCTCCGCAAATTTGAACAAGGTGCTTTTCACCCCATTGTCCGTGCTGATAAAGATGTTGAACAGTACGGGCCTGAGGACTGAGCCCTGGGGGACTCCACTGCTCACATCCCTCCAGGTCAAAAATGACCTGTCCACCACCATTCTCTGGGTGCGGCCCTCTAGCCAATTTGTGACCCATCTGACTATGTAGGCATCAACACCACAGTCGCCTAATTTTTTAATGAGAATGGGGTGAGAGACAGTGTCGAAAGCCTTCCTAAAGTCAAGAAAGACTACGTTTACTGTGACACCTGCGTGCAAGGATTTTGTGACCTGGCCGTAAAAGGCAACCAGGTTGGTCTGACAGGACCTGCCCCTAATGAACCCATGCTGGTTACCCTTAAGCATAATTACCCATGCTAGTTCTTCACAGATGTGCTCCTGGATAATTTTCTCAAAGAGCTTCCCCAGGACCAAGTTAAGAGACATGAAACTTGCCGTCCCCAGGACCAAGGTAAGAATAATGGGCCTATAGTTACCTGGGTCCTCCTTCCTCGCTTTTTTGAAAATGGGGACCACATTGGCCCTTTTCCAGCCCTCTGGCACCTCATCAGAGCACCACGAGTGCTCGTAAAACCGTGCCGGGGTCCCACAATGACTCCTGCCAGTTCCCTCAGCACCCTGGGGTGGAGATCATCTTGACCTGCTGATTTAAACATGGCCAGCTCCACCAGAAGTTCCCTAACTAGGTCCTCCCTGACCGTAGGCCTGGCAGTGCTTCTCCTGAGTCTGTCATGAATCCCACTGGGAGAGATGTCCCAGTCCCTGCTCAGAAAAATGAAGGCAAAGGATTTGTTAAAGAGGTCAGCTTTTTCATCTGGTGTAACCACCAGATCGCCAAGCATGTCCTGCAGGGGCCCCACGTTACCCAGTGTCTTCTTTTTACTCCCTATGTATTTAAAAAACGACTTCTTGTTATCTTTGATCCTGGTTGCTCGTCCTAGTTCCATCTCCACCTTAGCCTTCCTAACAGCCCCCTTACAGTCTTGAGCAATGGAGGAATAATGTTCCTTGGTGATAGACCCTCCCTTCCACCGGGTGTACGCCTCCTTTTTAGCTTTCAGATGTTCCTGAATGCCTTTGGTGAGCCACTGGGGCTTAGCATGATGTAGTGTTAGACCTACAGAAATTAAATGTGAATGACTAGAGAACCAAGGTACACAACAGGTGGGAATGGATTAAGATAGTCGAGGCAGCCAAGAGCCTCTAGGGTATAATAATAATAATAATATCTTGCCATGGCTGAAAGTCCAGTTTCTAGAATGAATGCTTACATCATGTTTCTTTTTCTCTGCTGTTAACAGAAGGAGCAACAAAACCACACTAATGAATTAAAGGGCCTCCCGAACCTGAGTCACACTTGTAAAGTAGTGAGCTTTTAACTTGAGATGTCTCATCAGTGACTTAGCTGATGAAATGCTAGAAGGAAAGTTAATGGAAACAATCCTATATATGTATGTTTCAGAACAATTTGCATAAATAATGTCCCAGCAGCAGATATGCACCTGGATGACATGCTTTACTTTTTGTCCAAGACAGCTGTTAGTTCAAAGTCTCCCAGAATCTGAGCTGGAGACAGGGCCAACCCTACTTAGATTTGGCTTCTTTTCAGGTTGCAAAAGGTGCAAAGAGGCAATATTCGTTATGTTTTAAAAAAGCAAACAAGTGCCCTTTTCAGCTTGTGGGATCTGTTTCTTTCCTCTCTGTCCATGTTGTTACTTTATAGCAAATCTTTCCTTAAATTAACAACCCTTCCTTACAGATAAAAGCATGACCCAAGCACCTTGGCTGTTTTTCATGCATGACAGAAAACCAGGGCAAACTTGGCGCTCCCAGTGAAACTCACCGCAAGGAGGGGCTGCTTCATCCCATGCACGATCTTTGTTGGTTTTCCAGTTAATGGGTGTATGATGATGCATAAGACCAGCAACAAGCTCAACGAGAAAAAGCTGCTCTCCCCTCTGCCATGACAACTGTTGCCTGCTGCTCAGTCACAGGGGCCAGTGTGAAGCAAACCAGCAGAACATCCTGACACCAGGATGATGACAAGCCCCATGAGCCTGCTGTCATCAGCAGTAGCAGGCTACACACTGAGGTGGAAGCACATGATGCTTATATGGGGAGGCCATGTGTTTATGGGGTAGGGTGGCAGTAGTGGGAATCTGATGGTTCAGTACCAAGTAAAGGGATTTGGAGCCTGAGTGGGGAGGGTGGCAAGTTTCATGTCTCTAAAAAACTACCTTACAACTGTTTAGGACATGGACCATAGTTTGGGGGAGGCAAGGGACCAGCCGTGAGCAGGTCTCTGGGATTGGCTAGCCCTTGGCCATACTAAGGGCCCCATATTGCTACTCCTACCTGGCCGTGCCCAAGGGATCAGCGAAAGGAACCCTGGGCCATATCCACAAATGCCCAAGTCCTGCCAGCGGTCCCACAGAATGAGTCCCCCACATTACCTCAGCCCTTGCCTCCGCAATCCAGACATGAATCTGTCTGACTTGGTTTTGTGTCACTGCCAACAACTGAAACCTGGTCCCAGCAAAAGGCCTCTCAGCAGAGATGGCTCTCAACATTCAGCTCCCACAGCGCAGTCATGGGAGAAGGGTAGGGGAGAGGGCATCCTTCCTCAGGGCAGAGCTGCTCCACAGCTGATTTGTGGGGGGAAATGAAACAGACCAAGGGGTTTCCAATGCTGGGACCTGCAGAAAGTGCCACTACCATCAGCATGTGGATATAGTCACTGCAGCCAGCAGAGTTGGAGAGTGAGCCCCCTTGAATGGAGCCTCCCGGGTCATGGTTGGGCACTGTCCCCGTGTTTCAGAGTCCTGCATACACTCATGTCTTTGAGCAGGAGCAGGCCACTTCAATTGAGGACCAAGCCCAGGGGTCACAGTGCCTGAGAGCAGGACTGATCCCCATATTATTATATGATCACATAACTTGTGACCAACCCGGGGTGCATGGAAACAATGCATGTTCCCCTAATGCAGCAAAGGGAATTTACAAGAAAACATCCCTGGGAATAAAGAGTGAGACTGTCATAGAAGACTTGCAGTTGCATCTCCAAGCCTCAGGTGTTTTGAAAATATCAGCAGTAGTGATGAGTGCCACACACTGCATGCTCTGCTGTGGGATGTGCTGTACAGCAGTGGTTC